AAGTTTCTTTCTTGTACTCTCTGAACATCTTTTAGCCCTCGGTGCATGTCTGTGTACGTGAATGCTTGATTGAAAACTTTTATTTCTCCTTGTGAAAATTTTCACTTAAATATCCCCTTGCGAATCAACACTTTCACATTATGTCATGTCGATGAAATGAAATGCAATGCAAAAAGGATGAAAAATGACATAAAAAATTAGAAAAAAATGAGTTAGTATAGGTAAGATAATTGATACAGATAAAAGTGATATTCAAAGATGAATATAATATCTACCCCCATCATGGTATCTACGTGAGCATGCTTTTATTAAATATCAATCTTACCCATACATGTTTTCTACCCGACATGATTTATTTTCAAGAAATTGATCCTAACTGCATGGTATCTAGTTCGCAACTTCGTTTGAAAAGAAATTTATTCTATGAATTTAAAGCAAAATGTAAAGGTTTAGAGTCGTTCCTCCTTCGTGTGCACTTATTTCGGTACCTGCTAACGGACATAGGTTCGATATGGCTATACCTAGGGTGATCGTTCTATAATTCACTACATGCATGGTTTCGGCTATAACAGGAAAATGTACTAGAATTGTCCTTGTTGATGGTGCTCCCTTGGGCTAGCAAACTCTTAATCCTAACCCATTACATGCATAAATAGATCGAGTTCAATTCGAGGGGATTCACTTCCTTGTACTCATACGAAGAATAAATTCTACGAGGATATAAGGCATGTGTACCCCAGGGGTTATTTGCTAAGACTCATACGAAAAATAAATTCTTTCGAGAGTATAGCTTCCACCCCTACTTACTTGGGACAAAGCGCGGGTATAAAGCTTATGTCATGTAAACGAACGTGATGTGTGTGAGGAGAAACATACAAACCTTTGACTCAAAAAAAGGGAAAAGAAAAACTCTTAATAGAAACTTTGACACATCAGAAATAAAAAATTAAAATATTAGTATGCCAAATTAAAAATAAAGAAATTAGACAAAACTTCAATAAGTGGATCATAAGTTAACTATAGACTCAAACTTATAATTTCCACCACTACGACAATATATAAGCGACTTACAGTCTGACTCTCTAAAGTGTCCTCAGCAGAGTCGCCAAGATGTCATAACCATTTTTTAAAACAATTTAATTTTAAAAAACATTATGACTTTATTTAAAAATTGGATTTTTGAATAATTTAAATTATTTTAAATTGGATTCACCATCGACCTTTGGGTTAGGTAAGTCGAGTACCTAAAACGTCTTTTGAAAACAATCTATGAATCAAATCATTTGAAAGAAAAAAGCTGTCATGTGTTTACCAAAAATTTATTTTAGGGTTCGAGAATCGATTACACGTGGGGAAGGATAAGCACCCCCGCAACGCCCAGAATTAGTACTTAGTCTCTTGTACATTGTCGTAAATGATGGACATCGTAATTTGAATTAATATTTAAAGTATGATCATTTTTATTGAACATCGAATAATTTGCTTTGAATCAATTATTAAGAATAATTCTTTAATTTGAAAAAAAAATCTTAAGATTCGCAATCTTCCATCGGGAAGGCTATCCCATCTATTTCTTATATGTGAAAGAATATTCTCCTTGAATGGTTTAAAATATTAAATCGAATAAGAAATTAATTTGTGTGTGTATAGATATATATATATTTATAAAGGATAAAATATATCTAGTGCAAATAGGGATAATGATATTTATTTATTTTATGTGTATATATATATTTATTCGGTGCATGAAAATGATACATAGAAATATTCAATATATTTAACATGGTGAAATATGTGTGTAATATAATATACATGTATTCTATATAAAATACATAAAACCCTAATATACACATACACATACACATGCACATGCACATGCACATGCACATGCACATGCACATGCACATGCACATGCACATGCACATGCACATGCACATGCACATGCACATGCACATGCACATGCACATGCACATGCACATGCACATGCACATGCACATGCACATGCACATGCACATGCACATGCACATGCACATGCACATGCACATGCACATGCACATACACATACACATACACATACACATACACATATGTAACACACACACACACGCACAAGCACGCGCACACGCACACGAATAAGCATATGCATATACATATATACATATACATATACATATACATATACATACACATACACATACACATACACATACACATACACATACACATACACATACACATACACATACACATACACATACACATACACATACACATACACATACACATACACATACACATACACATACACATACACATACACATACACATACACATACACATACACATACACATACACATACACATACACATACACATACACATACACATACACATACACATACACATACACATACACATACACATACACATACACATACACATACACATACACATACACATATGTAACACACACACACGCACAAGCACGCGTACACGCACACGAATAAGCATACGCATACGCATACGCATACGCATACGTATACGCATATGCATACGCATACGCATACGCATACGCATACGCATACGCATACGCATACGCATACGCATACGCATACGCATACGCATACGCATACGCATAATTATTGTTGGGTATTGTACGTGGGCTTCATCCTTGTGGGCTAGCTGGTTGGGTATTTTATTTGTAAACCTTGGGCTCCATTTGTATCATTTGTAACATTTGGGCCAATTTTTAACCTGAAAATAAAAAAAATATTAGTAATAATAATAATAATAACAACAAACTCCGGTAAAAATGAGTGTTTACAGTATGTACGAAAAGTTTTCTGGTTTTTATCGTTGTGTTTATCAATTAGGTTGTATCCTCTAGTTTTTTCGTTGAACTTTGTATGGTTGTTTGAATCTTAAATAAATTTGAGGTACATTCCTTTACCTATTGGCATATTTTTCGGTGTGCCGAGAAGTATGAAGGAGTTTTTAACGAGATCTCCACTTATAAAAAAAATTAGAAAATAAAGTATTAAGTACTGAATTTACATTATAAAATATATTCAATATTTTTCTTAAATTCAAGTATTAACTAGATTATCTAATAAATGCATTTTTCACTCTACAAAAGAAAAATATAACTTTTAAAGGATAGTATACCTTAAATAAAAATAAAGTATATTAGAAATATTCTTCAATAATTTTAACAAATAGTTTTCATTTAAAATAATTAATATATTTTTTTAAAAAGTAAGTAATTGAAATAGTTAATATTTAATTTAATAAAATTTGTCAGTAACTTATCAAAACTAAACTTTTAGTGTAAAGATGAGTATAGAATATACGTTACACATCAAAACACACCATCAATATACTAAATAAATTATTATTATTAAATAAATTTTATTTATTTAGAATTAAAACATTTAAATTATTTAAATTTATAAAATCATCCCAACAGCAACATTAAAACCAACGCTGATGATCTTATTCATCATCGAAAAATCATGTTCTTCGACGTACAATAGTGCCCTTTCATCTCCTTCAGCGAGTCACCTGGACATGGACTAAGATGTATGGCTCAGAAAACTCTCATTTCTTGAGCTGATTTTTCATAAATAAAATTACAAATTCTACAGTATGTGTCTCTCCCTTTGATTACAAGAAATACGAGATTCCAGTCCTTGGTCCTCTCATCTGATTATTCTCTTCTGTTTCAGTGAAGTACTTCACTTTTCTCTCCCGAAACACAATATCATGAAAAATATATACAGGACCAAACAGCCTATCAGGTTCTGGTTAAACTAATCCAATCAGCCAGTTAGATTTGATACAAAAGACTACACACAGTTACTAGGCCTCTATCTTCAAACATATACTCGAGACCTTCTTGCACAAGTTAGTGAGCTCCACAAGCAAGTTCGATATTATTTTATGTGGTTGAGCTGCAACAAACTAAGAGGTGCAAGTGTATGTTGAATAACGCGATTTTTCTGCGATAAACAGAGTCCTTGGTGGTTGTATTCGATGGTTGTTGTGATGATGATTTTACAAATTTAAATAAGCGTTCCAACCCTAAACAAATAAATTTTTTTTAGAATAATTATAATTTTAATAAAAAATATAATTTAATTATTTCCTATTAAAATTCAAACTAAATAATAATAAATGATTACTTGTGGATAGCTAACTATATTTTTCTTATATTTATTCAATAAGAACAATTTAGTTAGTGTTTGCATCTATGTATCACATTAATAGTATGTTTTGTTATACAACGTGCGCTCTAGAATTTTCTTTTGTGTAATCGATTAGTTTTGTCAATTTAATTAGGAAATTATAAAAATTCTATAATTTTAAATAATAATAAATATTGTATTAATAGTATTTTAATATTTTCATAATTTTATATAATCTTTAAAAGAATAAACAATTAAAAGTTACTTCTTAAATGATTAAACATGAGCTGATGAATTTTTATATCAATCATTTACTACTTTATCTATAATTATTAGTTAATGAATTTTCTATAAAAAATTTATATATAAAATATTATTTCACTACTCTCATGGGTGTGCCAAATATATATATATATATATATATATATATATATATATATATATATATATATATATCTGTTTAATGTATATACTAAAATATAATATATTTTTCATATGACAAAAGATATATTATATTAGTTCTATCTAGTTGGCCTGATTTCAAATGAGACGATGAGTCCAAATTGATTTAAAATTAAATAATAAAAAAATATTAAATCTAATTATAAAATATTATTAAAATAATAAAACTTTGAATATTGATTATTAAAAATTCTTTAACAAATTCAGATTAAGTTTTAAAGTCCCATCAGGTGAGTGACATTAAAAAGATAATGAGATATATATACTAACAGATAATAGATAAGTATAAATAGAGGTGTTTCTTTTTTCAGCTGGTAAGCTTCCGCTCTTCTTAAGAGAAGATAAAATAAAAATAAAAATTGGGAGATTGATTTCAATTCAACAATCAAAACGACACTTTGCTTCCGTCTCTATATTTTCTCCCAATTCCCTTCGTTAGGGTTAGGTTTTTTTTCTGTCGTAATTTTTCTTTCTTTGATTTTGCATTGAGAACCTCTTCTTTTTTCTTCAGGTAACCAGAAATTTAAGTTTTTTATTTATTTATTTTGCTTAATTTTTGGCGATTCGATTAGCCAATTGAGATGCAATTGGGTTTTATATTTATGTAATTCTGATCATGTTTTATGTTTGTTTATCTTGGCTCCTTGATCGAAAAAGTAGAAGAGTGCATGCAGACCAAAATACAAAATTTTACTTTAACATGGAATCATTGCGTAAGAATTGGTATTGTTTTATGATTTATTTATGTTTTGGATTCTCTCTGTGCTTTTACCTTTTTAAATTTTTGAGGGGCGACGGAAATACAACATATAAAGATAAATTTACAAGCAAAAAGAGCCTCGGGAACTTCTTAGATTTTATTTATTTCTTTCACTCAATGTTGCTGTTTAAAGATTGCAATTGCACAATGTGTTTAAACTAATCTGTTATCAGGGTAGAATTCAAGGTTATATTTTTTAGTGTAGTGAGTTTCATGTATGCGTCTTCTTATTAATTGTTTTGTAATTTTTCAGAATACAATGGTAGCTAAAGAAGATTAGGATTTAATTTGATTGATCGATTTTGTTAATGTTGAAGTGATCCTAGTTATTGATTTTGATTTTTGATTTTTTTTGGATTGTTTTGGTGATTTTTCAGTACAGAATTTGCAATTTTATAGAAAATGGTAGGAACTGGATGTTCAGAAGATGGTGGTGCACATGCAGAGCCTCCTGATCCTGACATTCTTGAGATTGATCCAACTTCTCGCTATATAAGGGTAAATATTAAATTTTTGATCGGTTGAATTGATTTTTTTTATTAACTTCTATCTGGTTGTTGTGGGAGCATGTGGAAATGATTCTGGAGTTTTCAATAATGGTTTGTAGCTTATTTGGTTCTTCATTTAAAAGAGGAGGTGAATATTTCAACTAGAAATCTTAGGTCATCTGCATTTTGTTCATTTGGTTTTCTTTTGCTTACAATATTTGAAGTGTATTTTAGTTATATTATTATCATGCATTCTTTCTGTAACTGAACTAAATGTTAAGTTGTTGGCTACTATTGTTTCACTTTATTGACTGATATAGTTTCTTACAGTATAATGAAGTGCTTGGGAACGGTGCTTTCAAGTCAGTGTATCCTTTACCTTAATCTGTGGGACTGGGGCTATTATTACTTTGTTTTTGCAAACATGCCTTTCCTTAATTTTATAACCAACCAGTTACAAAGCATTTGATGAAGCTAATGGAATTGAAGTTGCATGGAGCCAAGTTAGGATTGATGAGGTCCTACAGAAGCCAGAAGATTTGGAGAGACTGTATTCTGAAGTGCGGCTCTTGAAATCGTTGAAACATAGTAATATTGTGCGGTTTTTCAATTCTTGGATTGATGATAAAAAGAAGACTGTCAATATTATAACTGAGTTGTTCACCTCAGGCAGCCTCAGACAGTAGGTTTACTCTTATCATAACATATTCATATCCCTGCTGATGTTCCACCCTTTGTTTTATGATTAAATTATCCTTGTGGTGAGTGTGTGTGATTTGTGATTTAGGTACCGTAAGAAACACAAGAAGGTTGATATGAAAGCAGTGAAGAGTTGGGCAAGACAGATTTTAGCTGGTTTAGTATACCTGCATAGTCATGACCCACCAATTATACATAGGGATTTGAAGTGTGATAACATATTCATCAATGGCAACCAAGGTGAAGTTAAAATTGGTGATCTTGGGTTGGCTACTGTTTTGGAGCAATCTAATGCAAAAAGTGTTATAGGTATATTTTCAATTTACCTCTAGTTATTTCTGTATGTTCACTGGTATGCTCTTTTTCTTGATTTTGCATTTATGTTGATCTATCCTGTTTTTGACTTCCATTCGTAAAAAGAATCTCTGAATCCTTTTATGGGATAGGAACACCTGAGTTTATGGCACCTGAGCTGTATGATGAGAATTACAATGAGTTGGTTGATATTTATTCCTTTGGAATGTGCATGCTGGAGATGGCGACTTTTGAATATCCTTACAGTGAGTGTAGAAATTCAGCCCAGATATATAAAAAAGTTTCATCTGTAAGTTCTTGATTTACTTAAGCTTGAGAGTACTGGTTAACCCTACATTTCTATATACCTTTTCTTCTTCAAACTTTGTAGGGAATAAAGCCTGCTGCCCTTTCTAAGGTTATTGATCAGGAGATGAAACTATTTATTGAGAAGTGTTTGGTTCCAGCTCCTCAAAGATTACCCGCGAAGGAGCTTTTAATGGACCCCTTTCTTCAACGAAATGCATCCGCAAAGAATCATCCCTTATCACTCCCTGATATTGTTATGCCCAAAATGGGAGGCTTTGGAGACCGCTGCCTCATGTCAGAAGCACCTGCTTCCAAAAAGAATAGACCTTCCACGAAGGATCTTAATAGTGATAATGAGCTGCCTGTTATCAAGTTTCTTGATAATTCCTTGGGCATTGAAGTTAGAAGGACGAACAAAGGCAACGTTTTCTTGTTAAAAGGAGAGACAAATGATGAAAACTCTGTATCATTAATACTTCGAATAGCTGATAAGAATGGTAAAAAATAGTCTTAACTGGAACAATATCCACTCTCACTTTCTCTGTTCTTGTACGTTAACTACTTTTTACTTTGTTTCATATATGCAGGTCGTGTGAGAAATATTCATTTTCTCTTCTTCCTCGATAGTGATACTGCCCTCTCAGTTTCAAGTGAAATGGTTGAGCAACTGGAACTAGCGGATCAAAATGTTGTGTTCATAGCAGAATTGATTGATTTGTTGTTACTGAAGCTCATTCCCACTCGGAAACCTTGTGTTCCCGTTGAGCATCTGGTTCCTCTAACTAGAAGAAGATCTTCAAGAGATAAACAGAGTTTTCCCCAAGAACATGATGTAATCACTTCAGGACCATTTGATGAATCAACAAAGCAAGGTCCTTGTTCTTCGAAATATAATGGAAAAATGTCTCTTGCCAATTTGATGACAGAGAATTCTGGTTCCGAGATGTCATTATGTTCTGCAAACTCAAATGATTTGAATGATAAACCTAGCTCCATTCTATCGCTGATGTCTGCTGAATCAGGGCCTATGGGGAGTGACGGAGCAGAATTATCTGTCGACGCTCAGAGTAAGTTGATGAATCCAGTATCTTGTGATGATTCTGAAGACGAGGAGTTAAGAATGGAGCTGGAAATGATTGAGCTGATGTATCAAGAAGCAATGAAAGAAATATCTAAGAGAAGACATGATGCTATCATGGACACGCGAAGAAGATTGTCTCAGAGGAAGATGCAGTCGGATAATAATTAGTTCATTTTCATCCCCCACCACAAGAGAGAAATGGTAAATGGCCCTGCAAATGTACATATTCTGATATGGGTACATAGGATCCACTTGGTTTTTATTTTATTTTATTCTTTTTCTTGTTGATGAGTGGTAGGAACTAGGAAGTCATTGTTAAATACAACATTTTGCTTTTCGGAAATCGAGAGCTTGAAGTTTGTTCTTCATTTTATAGATTCCCTGGATTTATTAACATTTGGAATAATTAGGGCATTTCCATGTTTGTATAGCTCCAATAGTTTTTCTATTTGATTTTAGGGTAAACTACTCAAATGGTCACTTTTATTTCATAAGTGTTCACTTTTATTCACTGAATTTGAAAAAGTAATGTTTTGGTTACTTATGTTATCGATTTATAATTTTTTTTTATTAATGTAAGGTCATTTAGATCCCTTTTAATGTTTGAAGCCTTTTAAGGTGTTAGCGAGGTGGGTTTGGAAGGGGTTTGGCACCCTTATGAAGCATAAGGGAACTTAAGTCTTTATTGATATAAAAGTTTAGATTTATTTGATTATAGAACTAAACTGAAGTTTGTATTATGTTTTAAGTCGATACATATTACTTTGGAGCTTAATTTCAGTTACTTGATATTGACTTGTGTAATCGAATCTCCTTTTATAAGCTTGAAAGCTGCCTAGTGATTTGATCCAGTTGATTGGCCTCGAATAATAAAGAGGAACTACTACCTCCAAATCCCCCACCTTCAGTCCATGTTGTTGAATAGTTGATTTCCCAGAGTTAATGAATCGCATCGTCGTTATTGAATCTACTTGAAAGATATAAAAAGAAAAGTTAATTAACCTCATAAATCAATTAAGCGATGCCTAAAATCTTGTCATCCACTTTTACCACGAAGAAGGGTGTGAGATTTTTAAGACCATCACAACAATCTTCCGGTCAAGCCTCCAAGGCAAGGTATTTTATTAAACCAACATTTGGTGGTGGTTTTGGAAGAGAATTAAGAGTTCAAATGTTTGAGCATTGTTAAAAGTGTCATTTTAGTCACACCAGAGGTCAGTTTGTTACGGTAACTCACCATGAGTCGAATGCTCTCGCCGACATGTATAATATTGTTAGTATTTGAAAGAAATATTACATATATTTTTCTAAACTTGAGCTTGATTAAAAATATATATAATATATACTTTCGTATGATTAGATTTCATTGAACTGAATTACTTTAACGAAACAATAATTTAATGTTTCTTTTGATGTTAAATTTAAAATTTATAGTTAGATCCAGAATTTTAAATACTAATTTCATTATTATAGAAGAACAGCGTCTAACATGCTGTCATTACGAATAAAATCATATATTCATGAATCCACTAGAAATGACTGAGCTGCCTTGTTAGCCATTTCCTTCCTTTTTATCATTAATTTTAAGCACGGTTTTATTATTATTATTATTATTATTATTATTATTATTATTATTATTATTATTATTATGATGATGATGGCGTGCTCTACACACGAGCAACATATAGAAGTGGAGGAGATGACATGACTGAAAAATGAAACGAAATTATTAGTTGTTATAATGTAGCCGATGCCAATTGCTACAGCCTCGAGGGCCATACACATATTTATTACATTTCCACTTTTACAAGTATCACAATTCCTTATTTGAAGTATCTATACTGTTACTAAAACATTTGATTTGAAGAATTTGGACCCACACTTTGTAGTGCATTTGCCATCATTATAATTGCTAACTCGTTATTTAATTTCGGCCTCTTTAATTCTCCCTTTAACCATGAAACAGGGAACATATTCATCACAATCCTATTTTATGCTCAGTCAAAGGAGAGGAGAGAATTTGAGCAAAGGGCCCCTGAAAACCACCTTAAAAGAAAACTCCCCAAACGCTATTCTTTTTTATTAGGAGGGAAAAAAATGTCAGCAAGGCCACATGGGAGTATTTAATATAGAAAGATTGCAGGCAAAATCCAATTTTCTTCTACCCACCGACCACCAAACAGCCTCCCCTTTAAAATCCAGCCGTCCCCAAATTTTTCAGGGGAGGGATGGCATTAGTCATGGTCATGGAATCAAATTTTATATGCAAATAGACTTGGTTGTCAATTTTACCAAAGCTCACTGATTTCAACACATCTAGCAACAAGCATTTGATTATGAGCCATCTTACTAGTTACAAAACAAATTTAGTATCTATTATTTCATTTGAATGAGCGGATACTTGTTGTATTATAATCGGATTGGGATACAAAATTTTAAACAAGATTAAAAGTTTGAATTCTAACAGTGTGAGCTAAAAAAGTTAAATTAGAATAGACGTCTCGTAATAATCAATCAATTGTCGGTGCTTGAAAAAACTAGAGTTTAAGCTCTAATAGTTTCTAAAATTTCAAAATTTTAATTTTGTTATCGATTAGGATTTTGATTAATCTCTTAAAATTAATTTGATTTTTAAAATTAAAATGACGTTATTGATATGGAACCAACATTAAAATCATTATAGGTAATGATTCATTCTAAAGGACTCGATATTCAAAAAAAAAAAGTTAAAAAAATATTTAGACAAAGATAATGCAATGAAGCCTTGAATTATGACCAAAAACTTTGCATCCATCAACAGCCCCACCTCGGAGGGCATATGAATATAGAGGAGGCTATCTTCCAATTCTTTGCATTAGTTATCGTGTTTCGATTTCAAACTTCCAAAAGAAACCCTTGTGCTGCATAATTGACCCATTTTGTTGTTTTCCCCTTGTATTATAGCTAGATCAACCTCAACTCTTTAACTCTCTTTTTCCAATCACTGTACCTTAAGAAAATGTGAAAAAAATAAATTAATATATAATTACGGGTTTTTAAAAATATTATTTGACTATTTACAAAAGTACAAATTAATTCCTTGTAATAATTAGTGGCAAAAGTCTGCATAAGATGAACTTGTCTTGTAAGCTTGGAGAAAAATCAAAGGGAAACTGCAACTTACTACGCATGGCGTGAGCTTGAGGTTGCCTTGCACATGATTATGAATTTAAGATATGACATTTTTTTGAAAACAAGGTACTTGAATAATTTATTTTTCCAAGATTCACAGAATAACATAACCAGCAAGCCAAAGGTAATAAATGAACACCCCTATGAATTAAATTCCAGCCGAGAATATATCCACCTTGAGAATAACCCGTTCCTTTGAAAATAATATCGTCTTTTCTTCATCATGTATAATTAGTAAACACAATATTCAACACTATGCAAAGCATGTGTAGTGTTTTCCTATTCCGGGAACAGCTTTGGAACAATGAAATCAAAAAGTAGGAAAGAAAGGTCATAATAAAACTGAAATACTTTCACGTTGAATGATTATCTTCTTTATACACAAGATTTCTCCTCATACAAACAGCTGGTATCTAAACCAAAAAAATTCAGAAATTAGATCCTCTGTCATGCTATTAGTTTTCCTTTTTTTTTCTACGTATGATGCAGTTTCACACTAAGGGGGGGGGAAGAAAATATTAAAGCAACTAATTTATTCTTCATTGAGCATCAAGAAGAAGCTCCTTAACAGATGATCAATCCAAAATGAAGAAAAACAAGGCCATGATCACCTGTTGATGTTCATGGCGATTTCCAGCTTTGTAAGCCGAGGTCATTGTGTTTCCTGGAAGGACCCGAAGCTGGAATAGGAAAATGTCTGGGCAAGAATCCAAAGAAGTGGCCTGTGTGCTGAGGTTTCGGCTTGGCCTTGAAAACGTTGGTGGCGGTGGTTCTTGAACCGTGGCACTGCAGGCAGGCGATGAAACTCAACGCTAGGAACACCCACATGAGTAGAACCAGCTGCCTTCTACATTGAAACATCATGCACCTGATCTGATCGCGGTGGCGAAAGGGAAAAGAAGAGATTAAATGAGTGGATCGGTAGCCTCGTATGTTGTGGAGAAAAAGCAATGAAGATATGGACACGCACAACGCACGAACAATTTAGATCGTGCGTCTTGAGATTTTTGGGGTTTTCTTTGTGTAATGAGGTGAAGACGAAGAGAGAGAGAGAGAGAGAGAGAGAGAGAGGAAGTAGAAACAATCAAAAGAAGAGGTGACTTTTAAAGGAAAATCAAATGCTTCTACAAGTAGGACTCCGAAGAAGCAAAAAATTTGAATAGTTTTGGGCTAAAAAGTTTCTCGTATTTTGTATTAAGAAAAAAAAAAACTACTTGTATTTTAATTGGTAGCATAATTACCAAATTACCATAGCGTACGATTGGAACAAAATATGGAAAGTCTAAAATACAACAAATTAATATAACATTAAAAAAATGTAATCGGTTCAATTTTTCACGAGTAACTTTTAGAATAAATTAGGTAATATTTTAGTTTAAAATTAAAAATATTATGTTTGTATAATAAATCATATAAATTGTATAACTATCCTAATTTCAATTTATAAAGTTGCTATCAAGAAATTTATGTAATATTCTCGGTTGTATCTGAAAGTATTATCAATTGTATAATTTTTCAGAGTAAATGGGATAATATTTTAGGTTAAAATTTATCATAATATAATTTTTTTTATAATTAAGTTATAAAACTTTTTATAATAGATAAAGTAATGTTTTATATTAAAATCAATTGGAAATTACCTTTGAATTTCTTTGTCGCACAACAAAACTATCCATAAAATATATAAAACATTATTGTTATTATATATAATATATTTTGAACGAGAATAAAAATTCAAATTAAAAGTAACTATAAATTTTGAATATAAATTTATATATATTTTAATATTATTTTTATATCATATAGTTTTTTTTTATAATATCCAAGATTATGAAATCTATAAAGTGAAAGGGGTTATGCAATGCCATTGTAATTTTTCTTTGGTTAGGTGAGTGTTTGGTCCCACTCGAATTTAATGGCCGACTACAAGGGAATTGTAACTGTTGTTATAGACCCCCATAGGTGTGGATAACCCGTGTATGTTGGTTATGTATAGCTTTGTTTTGATCTTTACGTACCGTACCATATAATCATTATTTTCAAATAAAAAAAAAGATGATACTATACTTCCAATAAGGTAAACATAAAAGAATATAAAATACGAGTATAATTGTCTAACACACTCAATTTCCATAATTCAAGGGGGGGCATCCCAGCTCTGTCATTGTACAAATGATACAGTAAGTAAACAAATAGTTATGCAGGTATGATCATTCAAATCCATCAGAATTTTTTTTTCATTTTAACTAAATCTTTTCACAATGATAA